CAGCTGCAACAGCTGGTCCCACTAGTGAAATGCTCAACCCACTCCACTGCTGCTCTTCCACAATAATTTCAAAATCATGGGAGGCTAAACATGCTACTGTTTGTGCACCACTTAATACAAATCTGTTTAGGCAGAGACCAACTCATTTACTTCAGCAAATGTACTTTATTCAAAAGGATTTTACTTCAGCGCTGTTACTTAATGCCTGAATTACTGTGTTAACAGTTGCTAATTAATCATTGTTTTGTCTCTTGTGAAGTGTCCCTTCTCTGCATGAATGATTCATTTTGGATTTGGTTTGATAACTGTTTTAGCTGTTTACTAACAATCTGTTCTCTCGAGGCAGCTTTGTCTCTAGTTATGCAGCTGGAGTTTTGCTTCTTTTTATAAAGAAGGAGCAAAATGAGGAAATCTTGCTTCAGTTCCCTGCCTGGAGGGGAGCACCAGCTCACCTTTTCCTAAGGCCACACATGCCTGCACCGCTGCCTGTCTTCGTTTCAGTGTACACATTCACATGAAAAACATATTCATTGGTCCTTTGTGCCAGAGGCAGCACTGCATGAAGGTGTGAGGCCACACATCAATGCATCACCTCCGTCCCCTCCTATCAAAACAGATCCACATGGAGCAGAAGTAGCAGCTTTGTTGGAGCCTGAACTCAACCTCTCTGCTGTCATTAATGTGAACCACAAATGGTTGCTGGCTATAGAGCAGAATCCTCTAAAACGAGCTTTGTTTCAGTTTACCTCTGGGAGAAAAGATCTCTGTAGGGACTTCCATGCTGGAGTGCTATCCCGTATCCTTTGCTGCTGATGCTGTTTCCTATGACTGTCACAGAGCATTCGTCATCTGTCAGCGCCGCATATTCCACCACTGTCACATCCCACAGGAAAGCGTAATTTCCTTTCTTGGCCTGTAAATGCAGCATGAACACAGCACAATCTAAACTAAACTGAATTTCTAGGTAGGACAAAACCCCAACCAGCAAACGAATCCAGATCTTGTAATTATTCCTTGGTGGTATTTCATTAGGTCACAAGTTATCTGTAGACCTCCAACATCTTAATATATTTCTGACACTCTTCCCTCTCAGCGGTACCTCATCTACTTCAAACATTGCTAAAATATCTTCCTTTTTTAGTAGGGATACATAGGATAACATAGCCAACTTTAGATATAAGTAAAGTTTATGTAACAGGTTATTAATTATAAATCAGAGCTATTACTCTAGGTGATAGGATATTCTGTATCTTTTGCAGGAGAATGGAATGTGCTGGTTCCATACGTTCGTGTAATAAGACAGGTACAGTATGAGCACTTAGTGATGTTTCCTGGTCATCACAGTCACCAAAATTGTAACTTTGTAGCTTTGCTGATATAAACACGTAAATAAAACACATTTCCCTTCCAAATAATCAAAGTCTTTCTAAGAGTTATGTTAGTCCTGTAATGAAACGCATGCTCTGATTTTAAAGAGTTCCCTCTTTTCTTCACAGGTAAGAAGATTCACAAGAATCTCCTATTATCTCAGTTTTGGGATAAATATTGTTTTATTTTAACACACACTCATGCAGATACCCTTAAACATCAGACTTAATTGGGACTGAAGCCAGTGCCTGCACACGGGGCATACAGTGAATGTAAATCACTGTACTTAACACAAGAAGAAAGAAACGTCTCTGGATAGTGATTCAACAAAGCAAAAGTAATAATCATTTTCTTGGTCAAAGTAATTATTGGTTTCTTAATATATTAAAGCAGTAAGTTTTTAAGTCCCTAGTGAACAATAGAACAGATGGGCTTGAACATCTAAGGTAATAAATGTGTACTTCTTTTTTTTTTTTTTTTTTTTTTTTTTTTTTTTTTTTT